CCTAGATTCTCAGCATGTATATTGGGGAGACAAAGATCCTTCTTCACTTCTGTTGGTCACCAAGTCATATTTACACCTGCTCAGCAAGTTTCTAAATCCTAGTTTTCTGATGTAGAAAAATAAATTGCATATTAAGCCACTGGGAATTTTTCACAATTTACGACCTAATGACCAAAGAGTGAGTACTTTGAATTGCTTGGGTAAGAAATAAATTTTATAGTTACACTGATTAGATGTGTCCACTTTGATTTTAAAATAATGAAGTCATTGATTTCTAATTCCAGGCAGTTTTGCTAAGGGTCTTTTCATATTTTTTCCAGGATTTATTATCTTGAAATAGTTTTCAAACAGGTAGATATAAAGTATACAAGCGCCCAGGTATTTTAACTAGAACATAGTTGTTATTTTTGTTTTTAACCAGATCATCCTATACATATCATTCCCAAAATTATGAGGTGTCATAGAAATAAACATTAAGGACTAAAAGAACAGTTCTTGATGTTTTAAAACAGAATTCGTTTTTCTTCTCAGCTTGATTTATTTTAGGTCCTGTGGAATTTCTTTTTGCACTTGGACCTCAGACATTGTTCTCATTAGCATTGCTGGTTTACCCAAGTTGCAGTGATTAGCAGCCCTAATGGTCAATAATGATGGAGTCCTTCTCAGCCCTCAATGGCTTAACATTCATTTTTAGTTTCTCCCCTTTTTCTCCAGCCTCAGAAGAAATGGGATATGAGTCACCATCTTGGTACACTCCTACATTTATGCATTATGAAGTGTTCCCAGACTTTGTTCCCAGATTGACTAGTCCTAGATCTATACCATGGACAGTCCCTCTGTCTACTATACAGATGGCAAATCAAGGAATAGGCTTTCTTGTGCAATTTAGAAAGCCCCTGCACCTCATGTGAATCTCAGTAGTTTTGGTTGCATTTTACAAGGTTATGCATTTAATTAAATGGCAAGACTGTTTCCATCCATTTACAATTTGGTTTGATCGAGAGGTTAGAGAAGTGATTGGAGAATGGATAGAGAGGTAGTAGAGGCTGATCTCTTTGAAAGAACATTTTGAGAACTCCTTCCCAAATGGCAACACTTGCAAGAGACCCACTTGAAGATGTGGTTTGCTTACCAACTGACCACCTCCTCCCCTACCAGACATAACTAATTAGTGTCCAATGCTCTTGAGGCAGGTGAACCCTTAGCAGAAGGGAGTGTTCGCTCTATTCTCAGGGTGACACAAAGACACTAGAATGGTCACTGAGCTGTTGCAGGGGATTTTTCTTGAAATGGTGGAATTTAGCCCAGCACAGTGGTACAGGCCTATAATCCCAGCATCTCTAGAGGAGGCTGGATAGAGAGTTCAGAGCCAGCCTCAGCAACTTAGCAAGGCCCAAGCAACTCAGTGAGACCCTGTCTCTAATAAAATTCAAAAAAAGGGGGGGGGGCTAGAGATGTGGCTCAGTGGTTAAGTATCCCTGGGATCAATTCCTGGTACATACATACATACATACATACATACATGCATACATAAATGGTGGAATTTGAGCTTACCTTTCAGAGTTCTCTGAGGAGTAAGGGGAAAGGGCAGGAAATCAAACTTTCCAAGCAGCACAAGCAAGTTCCGCCTGGGTGAGGATCCACCATGAGGCTTGCTGGCTGACCACAGAACATGTGTTGGAGAATAGAGAAGGTAGAAAGGCAGAGTGTCCCATCAGAATGAATAGTGTTCAGTGGGCTTGAGGTAAACTACTTAAATTCTCTGAATGTTAGGTGCATTATTAGTAATATCTAGGCAAGACAACATCTACTCCAAAGGGTAGCTGTTAGATGCAAGGTGGTGAGGTAATTGAATGGAAATTCTTTGTAAGAGGTGAGGTACTGTGTGTTGATGGATAATTATGGACACCAAGTGGTAGTGGATGATTACAGAACTGTAGTGTTTTGTGCTAGAAGTAATCCTTCACATATGAACAATAAGAATATAAGTGAGACCTAACGAAACTTTTTCCTAAAGCTGGGTAAGAGCACAGCAGGAACTAGAAATCTAGTCTCTTAGATTGAAGAAAATTAAAATGGCAAGTCTACATCAATTCTCCAGCCAACTGGATTTACCATCTTGCATCAGTTTAATCTGGCTAGTTCAGTGACTAACATGCAGCCCACTTCAACTGACCACAGAAAAGCTTGAGAGGCACCGTCACATCTTGAACAGCCAAGGGCAGAAATTCTGACTCCTAGTGTCATACTTGAGATCACATTCCATCTCACAAATATTTAAGAAAGGATGCAAGGGCAAGTTGCCAAGTAGTACAACACAAAACAAATGTCTCATTGTGTGTTTTGCTGCACAGGGTATGGTTTTGTGTGGCTCAAGCTGTCAAGTGTCTGCAGCAAGAATGTGATTGTTATTTATAACAATGGTGACTTTTTTGGGGGGATAAAGGAGATCCTACTCTTGTGACATGCTCCAAAATACTAAGGAAAGAACTGCAAAGAAAATGTTCAAAAATGTTCCAAACGGGTTGAGAAAACTTGTGAACCCTGCCTGAACTTTTATTAGATTGTCCCACCACTCACCCGTTTGACATCAGAACAAGGAAAGCATTATTTATAACAGCATGTGTGAAATCCCAGAAGAGATGCTTGAAAGAATTAAAGTGAAAAATCTGTCCCAAAGAGACTACAAGCAGAAAATAAATGATCAGATGGGAAAACATGTAAATCAAAATGTGAGTCTTTTTTTTTCTTTTTTCTATCCTTTAGAGGAAACAAACGTTTTTCTTTGGCTATTAGTGATACAGGGCAAATCACCTGGTACACAGGGGGCTACAATCCACGAAGCCACGTGGTCACTGCCGAGTGAGAAGTACAGGAGAGTCACATGTGTTGATTCTTCCCCATATTGTCTGCAGAATGGCTGCTGCCATTGAAGAAATAAGAAAGTAAAGGTTCTGGAGAAGGAACCAACACCTTGAAAGCATTTGGTGCATAAGATTTATAAAGCACTTTCACAAAGTTCTGCTTGAATGTATACCTCATGATAACATGATGAAGTATATATTGTTACCCACGGTTTATAGTTGGAGAAATGAGATCACAGAGAGAAACTCCAGGTTCTAATAGCACAACCAGCTGTTTCCTGCTTGGGTGACTTCAATGAGCTGCCAAGCCTCTCTCATGCCACTCTCCTGGAGTCGTGAAATTAGATGGATCAGTGGATAGATGTTTTTTAAACTATGTAGAGCTCACTCTCCAGGTATGATTTCAGAGAGTGGCAAGAAGACTGGACATGCAAGTGTGCCACAGCACGCAGCTTTTCCTGACATGTAGACCATGGTGTATCCAGCTCTGTGGAGTGGCGAAGCTCATCCCTATTGGCCACAGAGCAGTCGTCTCCTTGCTGCTGTTGTATGGTGGCCCAGGACCTGGTGGGATCATTCTACCCTGTACCATGAGTTCTTCTGAGCATCTGGAAATGTGGCATCTTCCACATACATGCACAGCTTCCCTTTGCCAAAGTCCTGGGCACTCAGAGTTAACAGCCATGAACAGAAAGGATATTCACTGCCCACATCGTTTGTGGTTGGTCAGTGCCTGTGTCATGCTGGTCACAGTTTGAATACTGGCCCTATGGGGAATTGTTGTCACTACCTGCAGATATGCCAGGTGGGTCCACAGAAAAAGCATGTGCCCACTGAACGTTGAATCCCACTGCTGTTAGGGGAAGAAGGAACAAAGCAAACACACTGATAAGAAGGCAACTTGGCCTTTGTGAGCTTTAGGTTTATTAAGAGCTGAACAGAAAAATATGGGCCACCTTAACCCTAGACAGTAGGTTATGTCTCTCCTTATCATTTGGACCCATTGTATGGAGAATGGGGTGGGAACTCCTCCTTTCACACTGTCATGCTTTCTTGGATACTAAGAGCATCATTTGAAATTACTAAGCTTATTGGATGTCTTTGACACTTCAGCTCCTTGAGCAGGGGTACAAGCGCATTTTTTAAGCACTGTTTATTTTCTTCTTATAATGGGTCATGAATGGATATTGAGAATTAGAAATGGGCAGAAACTCGATGTGTCATTAGTCTAAAAACTTGGGGGCTGAGAGTTGTCACTGAGGCCTGATTCCTGCTGTAGCATAACTCCCCCCACCTGCCATCAATTATCAGCTGTCCTGAAGCTGGCGATACTGGGAAGTGGGTGCAGGGTGAGAAAGAGGACATACAGGCCACAGGCTATTGTGCAGGAATCAGTTCAGGGTTTTAAAATCAGACAACCCTAATGTGCTACAAGCCTGAAAATGAAATTCTTTACTTTTTTCCATGAAGTGGGAAATCCAAAAGTCTCCCTGTCAACAAGCAACCTGCACCTCAGTCACCTTGTGTAAAATGGGAAACATCTTGGCCACTAGTAGACTGTGATGAGGATGTTTTAGTCAACACTGTGCACAACGTTATACCTCTAGTGGAAGAGAGCCTCGTTCTTGTCCAGGAAGAACAGACACTGATAGGTCATTTGGAAGGCAGGAACTTTTATTTTTTGTCCTGATCAAAGTTATCTTGTTTGTTTTTCCTTCCTTTCTTTCTTTTTTTCAGGATGGGGTTTGAATGAGGGCCTTCTGCATGCTAGGCAAATGCTCTACCACTTAGCTAATATCCTCAGCCTTCAAAGTTATCTTGCTAGTTAGAAGACTGAGCTATCCCCTTACAGAAAGTGCATGTGTTTTTTTCTTGCAGGCTGAATATCCACCTAATCATCATCTCTGCTCCTGTCTGGTTTTGAGAAAAAGATAATTGCAAATAATTTGAAAAAAAAATGTTTTGACCATTCTTCACCTTTTGCTCTGTTGCTTGAGGAAATTGTATATCTCTTATCTGTTTATAACAATTAAAGTTAATAAGAACAAGTAAGGAAAGAAAAACGTCTCCTCACAACTCCTCTCCACATGTGGTTCCAGGGTGACTGATGGTCTTTGTTGGTCCCTTTCCTGCCAGGTCGGTGGCCACACGATGCTGCCCATTCGCTGGATGCCTCCAGAGAGCATCATGTACAGGAAATTCACCACAGAAAGTGATGTCTGGAGCCTGGGCGTCGTGTTGTGGGAGATCTTCACCTACGGCAAACAACCCTGGTACCAGCTGTCAAACAACGAGGTGTGTAGTGACTCACCAGAGCCCCCCTCCCCAGGCTAAATTCCCCTGGATGGATGGAGGCCTTCTCTTGGGCTGAAATCAGGGCATGGGCTTCCATGGCTGGTTAGGAGTGGCAGAACTTCCCAAATAGCCTGCTGTGTACCTAAATGCCATGATGGCACTAAAGAATCACTTTGTGCTGCTCATGTAATAAATAAATAGCAGATGTAGCATTCCAGTGAGACTTTGGGTCTTTTGTTTATAATTTATAATTTGCTCCAATGAAGTTGCAAATTTATTTCCTTTCTTCACATTTCACGAGAACATTAACTATTAGTGAAAAACTCAACCATTTCATTTTCCTATTTGATTTCTTTTGCAAATATCGTCATCCCTTGGTATCCATGGGGAACTGGTTCCAGGACCTCCCATGAATACCCAAATTTAGAATTCTCAAATCCCTTATGTAGAATATAGTATTTGCATATAACCTATGCACATCTTACCATATATTTTAAGTTATCTCTAGATTATTTAGAATACTAATACAATGCAAATGCAATGTAAAGAGTTGTTACACTGTATTGTTTAGGGAATTATACCAAGAAAAAAAGCATATGCATGTTCAGTACAGATGTGATTTTTTTCCAGATATTTTAGGTCTGCAGTGGTTAAATCCACAGATGTGGAACCCACATACACGGAAGTTGGCATCTTTATGAGGTTTCTCCCATCTTTCTCAGATCCATGTCTGTCTTTTTAAGCCAATTCCATTATCCAATATGCCTGCTTATTTCTGTAGCCTGTCACTCAGCACCTTAACATAAGAGTGATTTGGATTTATATGAGTCCCTCTTGAGAAGCATTCCTCCTAGATAAATCATTTCTCTACCAGTTTTATGAAAAATGGATATAAACCAATCTAGTTTATCATGATGTAAACCAACCCGTACTAATTGCTGCCTTCCTTCTGAAAAAAAAAAATGACTGGACTCCTTAAAAAAAAGTCATATCTCACAAGAGGTTAGAAAGGATAGAGGGGAGACAGAACAGAGAGAAGATGGGTAATGGGAATAATAATGAAAAGTAGAGAATGGTCAAATAATCTTCAGCAAATAATATTAAGTATATAATTTTATGAAGAGCTGGAAGAGAGTATTTTGAGGGTTCCCAATACAAAGATGCGATCAATGTTTAAGAAGATGGGAATGCTAATTACCTGATTTGATTACTATACATTGTAGATATGTATCAGTTATGCTCTATGCCAGATAGAGGTACATTTATTATATGTGAACCCTTTTAAAAATTTTTTAAAAAGAGCCTTCCCTTGGCTCCTCTTGGCACTGACATTTCTTTCATCTGCATGGCTTTTTTCCTGTGATTTCCATCCAGGTGATAGAATGCATCACTCAGGGCCGAGTCCTGCAGCGACCTCGCACGTGCCCCCAGGAGGTGTATGAGCTGATGCTGGGTTGCTGGCAGCGAGAGCCCCACATGAGGAAGAACATCAAGGGCATCCACACCCTCCTTCAGAACTTGGCCAAGGCATCTCCTGTCTACCTGGATATTCTAGGCTAAGGCCCTTTCCCCAGACCGATCCTTCCCAACGCACTCCTCAGACGGGCCGAGAGGATGAACATCTCCTAACTGCCGCTGGATGCCATGACACTGCTGTCCTGCACTCTGACAGTATTAACAAGACTCCGAGACGCTTTCAGAGGGAAGCGATGTGTACTTCTCCATCCACAGACACAGTATTGACTTCTTTTTGGCATTATCTCTTTCTCTCTTTCCATCTCCCTTGATTTGTTCCTTTCTTTTCCTTTTCCTTTTTTTTTTTACTTTTTTTTTTTGTCTTCCCTGCTTCACAATCTTACCTTCTCTTTTTAATCAAATCTGGCTTCTGCATTACTATTAACTCTGCATAGACAAAGGCCTTAACAAACCTAATTTGTTATATCAGCAGACACTCCAGTTTGCCCACCACAACTAACAATGCCTTGTTGAATTCCTGCCTTTGATGTGGATGAAAAAAGGGAAAACAAATATCTGACTTAAACTTTGTCACTTCTGCTGTACAGACATCGAGAGTTTCTATGGATTCACTTCTATTTATTTATTATTATTACTCTTCTTATTGTTTTTGGATGGTTTAAGCCTGAGTATGAAGAGGAAAACTTGTGTTCAATCTGGGAAAACTTTATCTATGGGAGATTAAAACCAGAGAGAGAGAGAGAAGATTTATTATTATAAACCACAGTATGGGAGAAACAAAGACAACCATTGGGATCAGCTGGCATCAGTTCCTACTTAGGAAAACCCCAGCAACTGTCAGCTGGGAATAATGTTTTCGGCACCTTCCCCTGAGGACCTTTTTGAGGAGTCAAAAAGACTGTTGAACTCTGTGCCATGGACTAGTCTTTTCCCATCACCAGAAACACTAGTGTGTGGTAGAGAGAAAAGATGGCTACTATAGTACACAAGGTGGCACATCATACGCTCAGACGGTCTTGTCTCGGTCACGGTGATAGCACTGGTGTGTTTCTCAAGTGTTATCCACTGAGCCTTTGTCAAATTCAGTTGAAAAGAGGTGGATTCTTGTCCAGAGATCATTTCAGGGTCAGGTGGGAAATCCAAGGACTCGGAAAAGATAGGACAAGCTCTCAATTTGGAGGCAAGTTTCTCTTATATTGAACTTTTCAGATAGCACCTCCCTCTGACCCCGCCCTTCACTCCCACCTGTCCTTTTAACTGTGCAAGCAAAATTGTGCATGGTCTTCGTCGATTAATACCTTGTGTGCAGAAACTACCGCTCCAGACATCGTGCCCCTGGTAGGTAGAGCAGATCCGTAAAAGGTATATCATATCAATTAAGGGAAGCTAATGGAGTTCATTAGCTGAGAATAAATGTCTCTGTGCTGTATGGCTGGTGGTAATGGGTTTTACCCAATATGGACCCTGAAGCCTGGATATCTTCATCCACGTTGAACCCACGGGATTGTGGGATGGGCAGAATCCATCCTGGAGGGAAAGGAAACCTCACCTGGGGACATCACACACATTCATGTTCAGTGTACACAGGCAATGTCTCTTGCTCTGGGCTCTGGTTGGGAGAGTGGTTTCATTCCAAATGTATTCCATTGTCAGTATGCTGTTTTGTTTTCTTCACTCCATTAAAAAAAATGTAAAATTAAAACATTTGGCACAGAATGCCAATGGGAGGCTGCGCCCAGACGGAGCATTGGAGGTATGCTTCTGGGCACAGTTATTGGTTTTGCAAAGAGAGTGTAAATTTAAATAGAAATTTACAGTTATTTGGATAGTCAGTTATACCAAGGGAGAAAATTATTTCTGTTCCTCAAGAAAACTTGCTACCCTCTGTGAGGGGAATTTTGCTAAACTTGACATCTTTATATCACGAGCCAGATTGAAAGGGAGTGATTTTAATTCATTTTAGGTTGTTTTATTTAGTTGTTGTTTCTGAAGGTGCAAGAGCTCTGTTTAGGTTTCACTTGTGCCCGTTAATTACTAGAGCACCTTGTTTTCCATTATAGCTTTGAAAGCCAGTGCTCAAAAACTTCAAAAGTGTAAATTATCAGAGAACAAAAGGAAATCCAGTAGCATCTGTGGTCAAGTGAGGGGGTTGAACAAGATGAGCCTTTCAGCCCTTTGGGTTCTGTGCTGGCCTATGAAATATGGGAGTTGAGTTGTTTGTTCTCTTTGTTAGTGAAAACAAACCCCTCCAGAATACAAAATTAATATAATGAAAGCCATATCTCCATGATATATACATGTGTGTATATATCATGTCAAGGGCCTGTGGTACTGTTAAAATACTGTGGAACTCTGTGAAGCAGTAAGGAAGGGGCAGATTTGTACAAACTCTTCTAGATTCCATCAGCAATGACCTGAAAACCTACAAAGGTTTGTCACTCTGTGTGTCTGGCCAGCTGCTCTGAGAGAAAAATCTGCAAATTATTTATTTTATTTTAACAGAGAGCAATGGAGATAGTACTTTAAGAGATCAAATTCAAGGAGGGCTGTGTAGTTTTATAGCTAAGATTTGTTTAAAACAGATGAAAAGATGGAAACATTCCATTCAATTTTTTGTGTTTTCTTATGAAGGAATAAAAGCAAAAAAAAAAAAAATCTTCACACCTTCTGACAAGTCCCTCAAGGTCTTGAAACAAAAGGTTCTATGCAAGTATGAAGTTTTATAGTTATTTATACTGCTTGTTATTATTATTTCCTCTGTTGTCTCAAGAGTATGTGCTTATTTCAGAGATGTCTCACATTGAAAGAACATCAGATTGTTTTAAAAATAGTTGATGAGCTACAGAATATCTTAAAGTATTCATCATTATTCCTCTATAACACACTTTCTTATGGTCTTCAAATTTTTAGAAAAGCAGCATCCTGATTCTGAAATGTACTGGTCACCAAATATGGCCTACCATCAGATATGTTAAAAACTATAATTATAGCAGTGACAAACCTAATTCTTTAACTCAAACCAAGTCTGGCAGTCATTTCCACTTACAAAGTGTGTTAGTTTTCCAAACACTTTTTGTATGTGTTTGCAAATTATTCCTGTTTTTTTTGTAGGTGAGGAAATTGAGACTCAGAGAAGCTCAGAGGCATACTGAGGTCTCCTGTCTAGCTTGTGGCACCAACAGGCCTTCATCCAACTACTCTGACTTTATAAGTCCATGATTCTGTCCACTAGAAATACTAATATACCAACAAACAGTTCAGAAAAGAAAGCACGCTAACTAATTCATGAATCAGGATATGAAGTTACGAATTTTGTTCATACAAGAGATGGCAAACATCTGAGACATTGTGATGTATGATCATGCTCTTAGCTTCAGCTTAATCTTTGTACACTGAACCAATGTCATAATCAGGCTTATTTAGAAAACACTTTGAACTATGCTATCAAGAATTATATCAGAATTCATATTATACATGTGTTCACATCAGCACTACCTGTGATATTTTCATGTATTTATATATGTGTTATAAATACTGGATTTATACATATACAAATGCACATACATAGTGTGTTTGTGTGTTTATGTATAAATATATAGGCACATCATAATAGAGATAACTATAGTAGGGTGCAGTATGAATAATTTGCTTAAAATCTGCTAAATAACCAAAACTTTTTAATGTCATGTTGCAGTTAATGCTTCCATTCTCCATGTGGGTGGGACTACATCGCACTTCTAAACTTTGTGCAGTACCGCATGGGTGGAAGACATATTTAAGATAATGTGCTTCCCAAAACAACTGAAAAAAAGCCATCCCACTGCATTGAATCCTTTCTCTGGCTCTTTTTTAAAGGAAAATGCAGATTGAAACAGATCTCCTTTTATAAAAGTCCAGGAAAGGAAAATTAAATTTTTTGTCTTTTTGCACATTTGTATTATGCTCACTTTGTCCCACTGTGACCTTTTCACAGTTATGTCAGAGTCCAAGCATTCCAGATGTAAAGTGTAATGTTGGGAGACCCCTGTCATGAATGCCAATGGCAAGACATCCAAGACTCTCTTAGGAACTCCCACATCTGAGTGTAAATGGACCAAGCAGCCGTGGAGAGTGCTGTCCTTTGTAAAGCATCATGGCAACATGATTCCTGATCAAGAATAGGCTTTTTCCCCCCTAACCTTTCTTTTTGCAAATTGGACAGCCTATAACACCAATAACATTGTGTCTAATTTTAAAAAGGACTGTCTATACGTTCATATACCCTTGATCATCTTGATCCCCCATTCTTTTTCTCCTATTTTTCCCTCCTTATCTGAGAACTTTTATTTTCAGTCTTAATCTTGGTTTGGCCCTATATTACTATTACAGGAAGTCTCCTAAGAGGAATGGCTAGTGACCCAACTCCCCAAATGTCTAAGTGAGCAATTAAAGCCCGTTTCTTCACAATGTATTATGGAATGTAGAGACTCAGGTTGTGATAGCTAGTACATGAATTTCAATGTTATTCTAAGGAACTGGGAGTGAGAAGAATTCATAGCTTAAAATGACAGCGCAGGAAGGGATATTTTGTTGTTATCAGGGCTGGAATGAATCACTGCTGCTTGAGGCAAAGGTTCTTGAATATCCTTAATTTCTGCATCCCCCCTTCTTTTCCTTTGGCTTTTATTTATTTATATATTTATTTATTTATGTATTTATTTATATAGTTTTGCTCCATTCATCACAAACAGAAGCAAAGGTAAAACACTGTGAATCTCACAACAACCAAGCAACTATTTTGCCATCTTAACATACGTCTCAGGAGACGAAATGGGAAAAGATGGGAATGTCATTTTTGAGTCTATGCGTTCTAGGCCAGGTCTTTGTTTATTTTATTTCTTTGGTCTGTGCATTAATAAATATGATCCTGAGTGAAGGTTGGCTGAACGTTCAACATATTAGAGTAAGGATAATAAAAGCTGCCAGTGGCCATGTGTTTGAATGGCGGGGAAACGGAGAAAATGAAATACAGCGTAAAGGCCTACATCTTGCAGCTTGTATATCTTACTATTGCTTTAAAAATGTATAAAACTGCTGGAAATGTT